TAAAACGAGGAGAAAAACTCAAAAGAGGGCAGAGAAATGGGAGGGTGGGCTTCAGTAGCAGGGGAGTCCATGCCGGGACCAGGAGCTGGAGAAGAAAGATGTCAACTGAAGACAGAAGGAAAAAATCCTCACATTCCATGGAGGTAGAATCATAGCATTATAGAATGGTTTGAGTTGGAAGGGACCTTAAAGATCATCAAGTTCCAACTCCCTGCCCTGGGCAGGGACCCCTCCCACCAGACCAGGTTGCTCAAAGCACCATCCAGCCTGGCCTTGACAGTAGAAGGTTCCTGGGCTCCCAGAGAACTACACGAGGTTTGTACAGATCTAAAATAAAGAGCAATGGGTACTGGAAGGTTCTGACATGTGTCTCGGGCTGTGCCATAAGGATGTGGTGTCCCTGAGCAATGCCCAGCCAGGACCCTGGGACACAGCACAGCCACTGGCAGCCAGGAGTGGGATCCTGGAAAGGGATGGAGAAGGATCCTCCTCTCTGCTGCCCAAGTGCAATGGCCCTCCATGCTCCTGCTTAACTCCTGGCCTGAAGAACAACTTGCCCTCCTTTCCCCTTGAGGTGTTCCCCTCCGCTCAGACATCCCCCGAAAACACAAGTCCTAATTGCTCAGCTCAACCCATCCTCCTTCCCCCTCCCCACGTGCATTGGAGGCTTCTTCTCGTGAAGGTTCTCCTAACCCTCAAGGCTCCTACATTCATCTTGGAATCAAACCTTCTCCCTTCTTCCCCCCCCAGCTCCCACCATACGTGCAATAACCTGCTGTTTGTTCCCTTCCAAAGGCTGCAGGGCTCCTCTGAGCTCAGTCTGTGGCCAACAAAACCATCTCCTCTCTCCAGCAGGAGAAGGCCCATGATGCGTCCCAGATGTTTGCACGTGGCAGCAGCCTCCAGACACAACAGATTAGGGGAGGGAGATGGAGAAACAACGAGCAATATCTCACTGGTGCGTGAAGCCTTTCCAACATCACTTGGAAGCGTCCTTGTTTCTAGCTGTGGTTGTCATGAGGAACTGGAGGGGGTGGGGGGATGCAGAACAGTTTCAAATCATGGTATGAGGTTCATCTTACATCTTTTCTTTGCTTACCGACTGCCAGCTCCAAATTAGGTCCATGAACTCCAATTAGCTCCATTCCTGTCCCTTCAAACAGAAGAAAAGTGCTGGCTGAGACCATCTCTGCCCTGCAGCTGCTGGTGGTGTGCTCAGCTCTCTCGGGTGGTCTTCTTCTCCCCACCCTGGCAGGATTTCTGCCCAAATGGGGTCTCTGTGCTGTTGGGGCTGTCACTACCCACATTGGGGAGAAACACCAGGGCCGGTGGGGGGCTGAATGCAGAAAGAGAGCTCCTCTTCCATGGAAAATTCCCTGTGCTTCATCAACCCCATGCTGGAAATAGGACCAACAAAAATAAGTTGTGGGTTTGGTGGGTTTTTTTTCCCCAAGAAGTGTCTTAAATACTCAGTTTCACAGAGAGAGGCCAGGGGCTGAGCAGCTCCTTGCTAGAGAGTTCTTTCTTTTCATTTTGGGGCTGAAACTGGTGTCCTGGTTTGAGTGACACAGGACTAATTTCTCTTCTAATGCTGGGGAAAATTGCAGTTTTAGAGAACAATAATGGGAAAAAACACCACCATTAATAATAATAATAATGGTAAAAGAGTACACAGGACCCAAGTCACACCCAGTGCCCAGTGAATTGGTTGCCCAGACTGACCCGAGCAGACACCGTGGATCTCCCTGCCATGGTCAATCCCCATTTATATCCCAAGTCTGACATCTATGGTATGGAATATTCCATTGGCCATCCCGTTGCCTGCTGAACTAGCAGAAAAACTGAAAAAAAAAAGTCCTTGACTAGTATAAACACTACTTAGCAACAACTAGAACAATATGCATTATTGACATTGTTTTCATACCAAATCTGAAAACACAGCAACCGCTAGAAAAGGAAATTAACCCCATCCCAGCTGAAACCAGGAGAGGAGCCCATCTGTGGGCAGCTCTCCAGGGCACGGGGACATGTGGCTGTCCCAACTTTACCCATCCCACACGAGGAAGCACTTCACCCACCACGGAGCAGCCCCCTGTTTCATTCGCCTCGGCTTCTACACCATCAGTTCCTCCATCCTCCTCCCCTGCATTCATTCCTTCAGCTGCCCTGGCTGTCACATCTCTGCACACTTACCAGCTGGTTTCCCATCTTTAATTGCCCTCAGAGGGCTTCGTCAAGAGCCACACCTGCTTTTGTGTGGGCCCTAATTTGTCACCGTCCAAACTGGAGCAGCAAGCATTTCAAATTCAGCCTCTATGACTGCCTTGTGTTTCTTCAAATACGTGATTAATTGCTGGGCCTTTACAGGCTGCGTTCAGCTCTTCCTCCATGAAAACAGAGTCTGTCTTCTACTGGAAAGCTCCCCACATCAGGGATATTAAATATCTCCTTGTCAGTGGGACTTGAGCTTGTCCATCCCATTTGTTCTCGCTGAAAGAGGCTGTATGAAATGCAAAGAAAGCTCAGGGCTCTCTTGACTTTATTCTGTTTAGAGGGGGTGGAAAGTTATTTTTCTTTGTCAAAACTGTTCTTATAAGGACACATTTGAGGTTAGGGCAGGAGGGGGATGTTCTGTTTCATCCCACCCATCCCCTGCAGCAGTGTGAGCAGGTAGGTGCTACAATCCAGCTCATAAACTGCTTGAACTCCACCTTAAAAAATACTAAGCTTTTTTTTTTTTTTGTCCTCTTTCACAGCTGCCATTTTTTAAAAACCTTGTTTTTAAGCCCAAAATGATTTCTTTCTTATAGTCATGCTCAGAGAAGCCCTCCATGGCTGGGCAAGAGCTGGTTTCCTTCTCTCTTACAGCATCTTCTCAGCCGAGAAGGGGTAACCAGCCAGGGTTACCCATCTCCCACCCCTGGGATGGGAGGGGACAATCAGGGAGCTGCAAACTGAAAACCACGGTGCTACCTACTCTGGCAAACACAGAAGCAAAGTCTTGCCCTCAAAAGGCCCACCAGTATGGGGGAGACATGGAAGGAGTAGCGAGGGAGAGAAAAAAATAATAAATAGATGGATGGGTGGATAAATACATAGGCAGGCAAATAAGCACTTTAAAAAAATTATTTTTGAATTCCCCAGAGCCTCCTTCTGCCCAGGGGGACGTAGAGGGTAGGAGGGTCCTCTCAGGAACCAGGAACAGCCCCTGCTTTACTCAGTACAGCCATGGCCCGCAGGGGCAAAACGAACCTGAATAGGAGAGTGCAGAGCAGTGATTGCCAGCACCCGGGTTGCTTTAACAAGGTAGGATGGGCTGCACATCGGGCCTCTGGAGAAAGTCTAAAACTGCCTGTTATGGACACGTTATGGACACAGTTATATACATTTACCCAGCCAGGAGCCCTCGCACGGAGGCAGGCTGGTGGGAGCCACAGGTCAGATGGATGTTTGGTGGGGATTGTGGCTGTTTCCCCCCTGCAAACCCTGCCCATGCTCCACAGCCTTTACCACCTTGGCCTCCCTTTTTCTATCCTCTGCCTCTCCTACCGGGCACCTGTGTCCATTCCCCTCTGCTCATTGGGTCACCTCCCTCTCCTGAGGGGATCTGCAGAGCTTTGCACAATAAATCCAACTCTCTTTCACTTTCCCTTATAGACCTTACTCTTTCCACCTCTTCCTTCAGTTCAGCCACCAGACTAAGCAGATCATTGCTCTGCTCACACCTCACACAGGTATTGACTCCACAGCCTTCCAGTGCAAGTGCCAGGCTCCAGCACTCACTGCAGCCCGTTGCCTGGGTGCCCGCATGTTTGCGTGGGGCCTCTGTTTGGGCACACTCAGTTTTTTTAACAGCCTTCGGCCGAGTTGTAACCATGGTTTTATCTCTGCTCAGCTCTCGTTATTGAGAAGGCCGGGCCTCTCCGGTCACCGCCTCCTGCCTGAACTCACCTGTCACGCGCCGCACTCTGGTGAAGATGGCTGCCGCCGCTTCGCCGCGCGCCTGAGGGCCTGCTCCGGCCGCCTTTAAATCTCCGCGTGACTCCTGGCCACGCCCCCTCCGCTCCTGATTGGTTGTTGCGGGCTTCCGGGTTCCGGCTGCGGCTGTGAGCTGGGGGTCCCTGAGCTCGGAGACCCCTCTGTACAGCGCCATCACACCCTCTCCCCGGGCTCACCGCGGGGCTCGTCGTTGTCGTTGTCGTTGTCGTTGCCGTTGCCGTTGCCGCTGCTGCCGGTGCTGCCGCCGCTTCGCCGAGCGCCTGAGGGCCTGCTTCTGCCGCGTTTAAATCTCCGCGTGACTCCTGGGCACGCCCCCTCCGCGCCCGATTGGTTGTTGCGGGCTTCCGGGTTCCGGCTGGGGCTGGGGCTGTGAGCTGGGGGTCCCTGAGCTCGGACACCCCTCTGCACAGCGGGATCCAACCCTCTCTCACCGCGGGGCTCGTCGCTGCCGGTGCTGACCTTTCAAGGTCTCGTTGCCATTTGCACCACCCCGTGCTGGGAAGTGGGGTGCCCATGAGGACTCCAGAAAGCCTGCACCAACAAAACCCTGCTCCCAGTGATGATCCACCTGAGTTTGTGCCAGCAGCTGACGTGATGGTGCTATGGTGGGCTTGGGGAAGTGGGGTTGGAGAGAGCATCCAAGACTCACCTCTTTTCTTAGGAGAGCAACATGGTTTGTCCTGTCCATTTGCATGTGTGAAGCACACATCCCTGGATGGATGTTCCAAAGGTTAAATCTTGAAATACACCTGGAAAAAAGGACTGCGTATACAAGCTACAGTGTCTCATGTGATGTATTTAATGTCCCTCATTTACATGCCGACAACTTTGCCATTTCTAAACAATGTTATCATTCATCTTTCTGATGATTAATCAGCACAAGCTTCAAACACTGTTTATCACACTTTGATGCAGCAATCAAACAAGAAAGGCAAGGTGTTACAGAGGTGTTGGCTTTTTTTTTCTTTTAAAAAAATCTCACAGTATTTACAAAAAGATGCTTTTTTTTTTTTTTCCCTAACAGCATTCTTAGAATTATTCACTCATTCACAATCAGTCGTTGTACAAAAACATCAGTCAGAAACAGGTTTTAAAATACATCCACCCCCGCTGCATAGTACACAGAAAAATAGGCTGGAGTCAAGGCACTCGATTTCTGAATGAGAATGTGAACTGATTCAGAGGCACGACATTGCCGAGGAAGAAAGGTGCGCTTCTCCAAAATTAATTACCTGTGGTTCTCCTGAAGCTAATGAGCTTCTCGCAGGGCTACCGTCAAATTTTCCCTTTCACAGTTCAAGTTATCTTTTGAGGTGTAAGCACGATGCTGGCCCTAAGGTCAGACAAGTCATATTGCAATGAAAAGATTTATTTTGCCGTATTTGCGCCTGGACACGGCGCCACGAACGAGTTACACAAAGTAATCCCAAGGATCAACGTGGGCTTCCCGTGTCATGGCCCATCCCTGGAACAACCCAATGGACCCCCTTTGTTATTTCCCATTTCTGCTGGTATAACTGGGAATCTGAACATCGCCTTATACTTTTTGGATCTGATCTTCTGGAAGAGGACACTGGGTTCTGCTCACTGCAAGAATTAAAGGAGGGACTAGCGGGCGCTGACTGTACCCATCCTGTTGATTTTCAAACAAAACTTCGTAATTTAGTCATTTGCTTATCTTGTATACTGGTAATTTTTGCTCTTTAAAAATGTGCTCCAGTGAATTCACTGAGCCTGGTCCATTAAAGAGCAACAGGGAACTCTGAACAATAGGTGCTTGTTTTACAGCTACTGCAAATGCTTCGAAAGCACTAAATTGCCTTTTATACTGAACAGTCTAATAACAAAGACTGATTTTCTCCCCCCCTTTTTTTTTTTCCCAATTGATTTGATGGTTCACTTGAGCTTTAAAAACACATTACATAAATCTTTACAGCTATTACAGAAGTCTTTTGTCAAGTTTAATTTGGTGCTTGGGTTTTGTGTTTTTTTTCCACGGTGTAATCACTCACCCTTAAACTCACCGTACCACACACACCTGGATCCTGCTTGACTCTGGATCCATGGGAATCAGAAGTCCTAGAGGTTTGGGTTTTGGTTTGTTTGGGGTTTTTTTGCATGAGGAGGGACCTAAATCCCAATAAACAAAGGCAGTTTGTCAGGGAAAGCTCCTGGTTGAGAGGTATATCAGAAAATGCACTCCCAGAGGCATTGCCAAAGGCCACAGCCTCCCGAAGAGGAGAGGACACTTTGCAGGAGGAACACCCTGTCCTGGTTTGAGGACCACCCAAACCACGGCAGACCCTTACAGCCCTGTTCTAGACAAGCTTATTTCACAGTAGAAATGTAAGGATGGAAAAATGACCCACCATGGCATCCATCCATCCATCCACCCCAGTGTGTGACACCAAGGACTGTGACAACTAGAAGATTAAACCATTAGGAGTAATTAATCCTCTGAGCTAACAGACCGTGGTGCTGGCTTTGCCCCCAGCCCCAAGGTGGATCCACGGCTGTGCTGGAGTGAATGAGTAGGGCAAAAAAAATCAGGTTTTCCAAGGATTTAATATATCTGCCATGTTGATGTTTTCAGGATACCTCATCCATTTGACTTAACCACCAGAGGCATTACCTCCGACAACATGACCCACCATGGCATCCATCCATCCATCCACCCCAGTGTGTGACACCAAGGACTGTGACAACTAGAAGATTAAACCATTAGGAGTAATTAATCCTCTGAGCTAACAGACCGTGGTGCTGGCTTTGCCCCCAGCCCCAAGGTGGATCCACGGCTGTGCTGGAGTGAATGAGTAGGGCAAAAAAAATCAGGTTTTCCAAGGATTTAATATATCTGCCATGTTGATGTTTTCAGGATACCTCATCCATTTGACTTAACCACCAGAGGCATTACCTCCGACAACAGTCCCATCCTCTCCTGCTGTGTAACTTTGCCGTTTCAACTTTGTTTTGGCTTGATATCCTGCGGTGGAAACCTTAGATGGGATTAAGGGAGAGGGTGGGAGATACACCAGTGCAGACCTCTCTCCCTGCCGCAGAATAAAAGGGGATGTGCTGCTCACCAGGCGGAGGAGTAGAGAGCAAGGCTGGTAGAAAAGCAATTAAGTGTTGAAAAAAACCTTCAGAAAGGAAATTGAGGACAAAAAAAACCGCAATTAAGTGTTGAAAAAAACCTTCAGAAACGCAGTTGTCAAAAAAAAAACCCCAAACCTGAGCAGATGACATTATCTTCACCAGGAAAAGCCGAGAGGCTGTTAAATGCCAGGTTTCCCCATCTTGCTTTCTCCCAGCCCCTGGGCTGTTTCCCTTTCCTCCTGGTTTTGAAGTGGAGGATTTCTATGGCTCTTCCCTCTCCCAGCCTTCTGCCCCGCTGCGGCCCACAAGGAAAGCCCAGCCCTGGAGAGCTGCTGGGCCAAGGCTCACTTTGGGGAAAAAGAAGAAGGAGGAAAGGCTGAGAGAAGTAGGATGGTCTCGCTGTTCTCCTGCTGATCCACCGCTCTCGGCGTTGTGATTCCTCAGCAAAGTGCTGGGCTCTGAAGAACGGGTCGGTAAAGACAGAGCTTGGCTGGGACTGTGAGGAGAAGCTGGAGATGGAGATGGAGATGAAGGAGTGAATCAGAAAGAACCCAACTAGATGCATAGAGGTCCATCTCCACCCCTGAGCTTCTCGATACCAGGAGCCAGGGTGAGCCTCTCAGTGAAAGATGCTGGAGTAAGATGTGTTTGATGCTCAGAGATCTCCACGTGAAGCCACCATAAAATTTTGTGGATAGCCAGCCAGGATTCCGTGCTGTAAATCTAAAGAGTAGCCACACGGACCTTCCCGGCTGTGCTTAGAGCAGCACAAAACCTGGCTTCATGTACTAACCCCTGTGGAAGCAGGATGAGTGGGATTCACGCCTGGTGGAGCACCATGGAGGAGCGCACTCTATTAATCAACGTGGGCTTCCCGTGTCATGGCCCATCCCTGGAACAACCCAATGGACCCCCTTTGTTATTTCCCATTTCTGCTGGTATAACTGGGAATCTGAACATCGCCTTATACTTTTTGGATCTGATCTTCTGGAAGAGGACACTGGGTTCTGCTCACTGCAAGAATTAAAGGAGGGACTAGCGGGCGCTGACTGTACCCATCCTGTTGATTTTCAAACAAAACTTCGTAATTTAGTCATTTGCTTATCTTGTATACTGGTAATTTTTGCTCTTTAAAAATGTGCTCCAGTGAATTCACTGAGCCTGGTCCATTAAAGAGCAACAGGGAACTCTGAACAATAGGTGCTTGTTTTACAGCTACTGCAAATGCTTCGAAAGCACTAAATTGCCTTTTATACTGAACAGTCTAATAACAAAGACTGATTTTCTCCCCCCCTTTTTTTTTTTCCCAATTGATTTGATGGTTCACTTGAGCTTTAAAAACACATTACATAAATCTTTACAGCTATTACAGAAGTCTTTTGTCAAGTTTAATTTGGTGCTTGGGTTTTGTGTTTTTTTTCCACGGTGTAATCACTCACCCTTAAACTCACCGTACCACACACACCTGGATCCTGCTTGACTCTGGATCCATGGGAATCAGAAGTCCTAGAGGTTTGGGTTTTGGTTTGTTTGGGGTTTTTTTGCATGAGGAGGGACCTAAATCCCAATAAACAAAGGCAGTTTGTCAGGGAAAGCTCCTGGTTGAGAGGTATATCAGAAAATGCACTCCCAGAGGCATTGCCAAAGGCCACAGCCTCCCGAAGAGGAGAGGACACTTTGCAGGAGGAACACCCTGTCCTGGTTTGAGGACCACCCAAACCACGGCAGACCCTTACAGCCCTGTTCTAGACGAGCTTATTTCACAGTAGAAATGTAAGGATGGAAAAATGACCCACCATGGCATCCATCCATCCATCCATCCATCCACCTCAGTGTGTGACACCAAGGACTGTGACAACTAGAAGATTAAACCATTAGGAGTAATTAATCCTCTGAGCTAACAGACCGTGGTGCTGGCTTTGCCCCCAGCCCCAAGGTGGATCCATGGCTGTGCTGGAGTGAATGAGTAGGGCAAAAAAAATCAGGTTTTCCAAGGATTTAATATATCTGCCATGTTGATGTTTTCAGGATACCTCATCCATTTGACTTAACCACCAGAGGCATTACCTCCGACAACAGTCCCATCCTCTCCTGCTGTGTAACTTTGTCGTTTCAACTTTGTTTTGGCTTTATATCCTGCGGTGGAAACCTTAGCTGGGATTGAGGGAGAGGGTGGGAGATCCACCAGTGCAGACATCTCTCCCTGCCGCAGAATAAAAGAGGATGTGCTGCTCACCAGGCGGAGGAGTAGAGAGCAAGGCTGGTAGAAAAGCAATTAAGTGTTGAAAAAAACCTTCAGAAACGCAGTTGTCAAAAAAAAAACCCCAAACCTGAGCAGATGACATTATCTTCACCAGGAAAAGCAGAGAGGCTGTTAAATGCCAGGTTTCCCCATCTTGCTTTCTCCCCGCCCCTGGGCTGTTTCCCTTTCCTCCTGGTTTTGAATGGAGGATTTCTATGGCTCTCCCCTCTCCCAGCCTTCTGCCCCGCTGCGGTCCACGAGGAAAGCCCAGCCCTGGAGAGCTGCTGGGCCAGGGCTCACTTTGGGGAAAAAGAAGAAGGAGGAAAGGCTGAGAGAAGTAGGATGGTCTCGCTGTTCTCCTGCTGATCCACCGCTCTCGGCGTTGTGATTCCTCAGCAAAGTGCTGGGCTCTGAAGAACGGGTCGGTAAAGACAGAGCTTGGCTGGGACTGTGAGGAGAAGCTGGAGATGGAGATGGAGATGAAGGAGTGAATCAGAAAGAACCCAACTAGATGCATAGAGGTCCATCTCCACCCCTGAGCTTCTCGATACCAGGAGCCAGGGTGAGCCTCTCAGTGAAAGATGCTGGAGTAAGATGTGTTTGATGCTCAGAGATCTCCACGTGAAGCCACCATAAAATTTTGTGGATAGCCAGCCAGGATTCCGTGCTGTAAATCTAAAGAGTAGCCACACGGACCTTCCCGGCTGTGCTTAGAGCAGCACAAAACCTGGCTTCATGTACTAACCCCTGTGGAAGCAGGATGAGTGGGATTCACGCCTGGTGGAGCACCATGGAGGAGCGCACTCTATTAATGAAGCTATTATTCAAATTAAAAAAAAAATAAAAATAAAAATACCCAAACCCAAAAAGAGAAGGATGAAGCTGCTGGTGGCACTGACGGACGTTGTTCGGGGCTCAGGGTGAGGAGATGTGCCCGGCGAAGAGGGAGAGCAGAGGCAGGGCCAGGGCGGCGGTGGGGAGTGATGGCGGGGGGGATGCGTTGCGGAGCATACACTCCACCCTGGACCAGGAGCCGTTGTTGGGCAGTGGCTCTATCCCTGCCAGGTGGCACATGATGTTGTAAACATCCACGGATCGGATGGGAGGCGCTCGGAGGTTGGGTCGGAAATCTGCAGGGGAAACGAGAGAGGAGTTGGGGTCCTAGGGCTGAAACCAGGGGTGCTTAGGACAAGAGGAAACAGCCACAAACTTGAACATAAGAAGTTCCACCTAAACATGAGGAAGAACTTCTTTCTGTGAGGGTGGCAGAGCCCTGGAAGAGGCTGTCCAGTGGAGGTGGTGGAGTCTCCTTCTCTGGAGACATTCAAACCCCACCTGGACATGTTCCTGTGCAACCTGCTCTGAGTGGACCTGCTTTGGCAGGGGGTTGGACTAGATGATCTCCAGAGGTCCCTTCCAACCCCATGTGATTCTGTGATGCTGTGGGACCAGGGCTTTTTCCCCAGGCTGGGAGGAGGCACTCTACACAATTCACAACATAACTCAGCAAAAACATCTTCAATGGTTTTACCCGTTATTTTTATGCCGAGCCCTATTCTATTCTAAAAACTGCAAAGGAAAAATGAATTCAATTACTAAGTACAAGAGCGACTTCACTGCCTGCACTTGGTAGATTTAATAGCCTGAAATAATTGCATCGTGCAGTCTGCTTTCCTTCCCTCCCGTCCCCATCCGCAGCTTGGGGCTCGGTAGTTTTTAAAGGGATGGATGAAATGGGAACCCAGGGGGTTCTGCATCCCACAGGTGGGTGAGGAACGCTGCAGCCTTCCCAAAGGAAGCGCTTTTCCTCGGGGAGTCTGGATCCATGGACAAAATTCACGTGTTTCAAATAGAATAAAAAAAAAAGAATAAAAAAAATTGGGCCACTCACTCTTGGAAAATCGAGGGGAAAAGGGATAGAGTGAGGGGGCTGGGGGGTTGGAGAGGGGCTGACCAAATCCCTTCCCGTCTCCCTGCCCCGTTTCTCCAGCCCTGAGACGGACACACAGGGAGAAACTCTCCTGGCATCGAGGCACAGTGAGGAAATCCTGCCATCTATTTGCAATTTTGGGGTGTCGCAGAGTGCCGTGCCAGGGTTCCTGAGATGCCAGGGCTGCATCCCGAGATGGGGCCGTGGGGGGAGAGGGAGAGGGCACTGTACCTGGCCCGTAGGCGATGAAGAAGGCTCTCATGTCCATGAGCTCGTTGTCGTAGCCGTGCCACCCGTTCTGCCAGGCCTCCTTCTTCCCCGTCCCGTTCTCCCAGAAGGGCAGCTTGTCCCTGCTCTGGGTGACAACACGCCAAGCACGGTTAGTGCCACCCTCTGCCACCACCTGCTGTACCACCCCATCAGACCCCCGGCTTTGCCACCCGGCTGAGAGGGGAGGACAGCTTTCTGCCTCTCACTCATCTAAATTTCTGCCTTGAGCAGAAAGTATCACAACTGTATGTGACACCTGGGGGCAAGTTGGTGTCCCTCTCCCACCACATGCCACCTGGTGCCATGGATTTGGTGGTTCTGCTCAACATGCCGTTGCCAACACAGAAAAATAAGCTGGTTTTGCTCCCTTTGACTAATCAGCCTGAACAATACAAATATCACCCCTACTATATACTTTTTATTTACTATTATTCTGTTATTATTTCTTCTCCCTGCTTCTTTCAGCATTAAAGCAATGAGGTTCCACCGGGGAATGCAGGCTCAGACCGAAGAGGGCCCCCCCTTTCTCCCTGGCATAGACCACTCTCGGTTTTCTCTCCCTGCTCCATGGATCCAGGCTTTAATAAGCTGTCAGCATAATTCTTGTTTTTCCTTGCCCATATTGCACTTAAGCCATACTTTTAAACTCCTTCATCGCTTTCTCCTGCTCCGTATTAACAGCTCTCCCAGCAATAGTCCCTCCTCATCCTGCTGGGAAAATGTTCCTAAGCATCTTGCTGGGAAAAAAAAAACCAAGCCAACAACTTTCCAGACACATCCCCTTTGTCTCTCAAGAAAAAAAAAAAAAAAAAACAACCCCAAAAACCCAAAAAAGCCTTATTTTTCAAACAGCTTATAGCTATCCCGGAGCCGACAGAGAGTTAAACCACCCCGTGAGCCTGACAGGGAAGAGCTGAACACCAGTTCTCTTCAGTGGTTTGGGCAGGAAGTATAATAGAAGGCTCAATTATTGCTTTAAAAATATGACAGGAAACTTTCATTTTCACATCCCATTCACGGATAATGAAAATGTACCGAGGAGAAGGAAAAATCTGACAGCATTAATGAGAGGACATTCTTGAAAATCAGAAACAATGGGAAGGAATGGGCAGAGAGACAGAAGTAATTACCATAGCAGCAGTGTTTGCTGCACTGTTATTAAGGTTTGTCAGAGTTTCAATGATTTTTTTTAAGTGCTTTTTTTTTTTTTCCTTTTTTTTTCCAGAATATGTAAAAATGTTCTGTGCTGAACTTCCGCACAAAAGAGTTTAGTTGTAATTTTTTAAAATCATTTTGGCAAAAATGTTTCAAATTCCTTCTTTATGTGTCTGAATATTAACTCTGGCTTTTATATATATATTTATTTTTTTTAAAACCAGAAATGTGGTGCTCACACATCTGTACTCAAAAGAAATTGTGGTGTTTTTTAAGAGGTCCATTTTTTTTTCAGCTGTAGAATTGGTTATCCTAAAGTCAGGCTGGCCAGAGAGAAATGTGGCTGTGTGAACAGCCTTGACCAAAGCCTGGTATCTTTGAAGGTCATGAAAGAAGATGCTCAGCTGAGTTACAACGACATGTGGGGCAATGGGATCTAATGACGGGGCTGGGACGCTATAAAAGACAGGATTCCTTGATGCTGTCACCAAATTAGTGACTTAATGTATGGCCTTGGGCAAATCACTTAGTACTGCTCCTCACTTATAAGATATACAAGTTGCCTCACCCTCTGAGCTGTGGTGGGGTACAGTTAATATATGTAATGTGGAGATGTTCCAGAGCAATACAAATACTATATAATAATAATAAAAATAAAAATAGTTGTTATCATTATTCTTTTATGGTAACAAAATAATTTGGTATGAAAAAATCACTTCATGTGCGAATCTGATCAATTCTCTGCTTAAGAGTATCTCAGATTTTGGAGTGTGCACTGGGTATCTCTGAAGAGTAAAACCCCCCTCTGACCCTTTTGAGACTGGGGGGCTTGGGAAAAAAAGGGCACTTTCAGGACAGTCTGGTGGGTGGGAAGCCAGGCAGAAGGAAAAGTCGCCCCGAAGTGCTGCTGAATGGAGGGATAGTAAAGTCTTGAAATGGAAACGCTCTCCTTTTGTCTGAGAAGAAGGTAGATGGGCAGGGGGACAAGGAGTAAAGCGACAGAACTGGAATGGGAAACACAAAAACTACTCCTGTTCTATGACGACGCAGAAAAAAGAACTTTCTTTACTATTTAACTTTGTCTACCTTCACCACAGACACCTTGCCTTTAGGCTCCTTTAAGCACAGCAAGATTTGACATTAGTTTTGTAGTCAGCCCAAGTAAAGGATGTAACACCTCAACTCAACGCCCAGCATAGAATCCTACATTTTCCTTACTCTTCTCATATATTGCACCCTTTCACATTCACGTCTAAGTATTTTGCTTCTGTATTTTACCTCTGCTATGAACCATCCTTCCTCGGCCACGAGAGTTAGAGGAGACACAAATTTTCCTTTTTTGTAGAAAAACCTTTCTGGAATATCCTGTATGTTATAAACGTCCATGTGTTCCACAGCTTTCAACTTCTGATATATCTGCAAAGAAAACAAATGTTAGGACACCGTATGGCTGCGAAGAGCGTACACACACCGATGGGTACATGGGACCCCTTGAATTTATGAAACAGAAAATCCCCTTTGATGGCTAATCATCAAACTGGGACTTTGCTGGTCCAAACATGACAACTGTGCAAAACCTGCTCATGTGGTTAAGGAGGTTCTGAAAACTTGGTTCATAAACACACAGGGATGCATGAATTCATGTATTATATATATTTATAATACATGCACTCACAAAGGTGTGCATGTGAGTATATCAGCCTACAGAGAGAGACCAGCAGAAACCAAATTATCACGGGAGACAGTAAGCTCAAAGTGATGAAGGATGCTCAAAGGCACCGTATGGACTGATGTGGAAAAGGGATATTGCCTTTCGCCTCTGCCACTGGCTCCCTCTTTGAACAATTAATGTCACCTCACCTATGTTTCTTACACTTAACCAGGCAATTCCTACCAAAGGGTTTGAAGTTTTAATTTTAGAAGGCTCCGGGGAGACCTTAGAGCCCCTTCCAGTCCCTAAAGGGGCTCCAGGAGAGATGGGGAGGGACTCTGGATCAGGGAGGGGAGCCATAGGATGAGGGGGAACGGTTTTAAACTGAAAGAGGGGAGATTTAAATTAGATATTAGGAAGAAATTCTCTGCTGTGAGGGTGGTGAGAGCCTGGCCCAGGTTGCCCAGAGAAGCTGTGGCTGCCCCATCCCTGGAGGTGTCCAAGGCCAGGCTGGATGGGGCTTTGAGCAACCTGGTCTGGTGGGAGGTGTCCCAGCCCAGGGCAGGGGGTTGGGACTAGATAATCTTGAAGGTCCCTTCCAACCCAAATCATTCTGTGATTCTCTAAGGTATCTGCTTCAGAAGGAAGCCCTAAGATTAATCAGCCAATGCCTGAGGCTCTGAAGCTGCACAATGCTGTTAACAAGTGGTTTATCAATATTAATCATACCGTCTGGAATATAATGACACAAATGTGGTTAAACCCCAAATTATTCAGAAAAATACTTTAAATGCCTAAAGAAGATGATCATGTGCCATAAAGGAGGTGGTTACTGGAGTCCCCAGAGCTTATATTGCTCTTCTGCTCAAATATAAATAATCTTCAGGAATAAACAGCAAAGAATGCAACAAGAATGAAAGGTCCTTCACTGGTCCTTTAGCAAAATCCCCCCTTGTGTGTGTGATGTGTGTGTATATGTGCAAGAGTTGTGCAGTGACATGCAGTCACCACAGTGAGGGACTCAGCCCTACCCTCCCACCATCACCTGGTAGAGAGAGTGGTCCTGGTGTTCCACCAGAACCTCTGGTGCTTCAGAATGGGACAACTCTTACATGCGACGCCACTGTGTTGGGATACAATCTAATCCCTAAACAAGTGAATTAAGAGTAGAGGAATCTGGCCATTGGGAAAGAGAAAACCAACTTTACTTAGTTCTAAAAAGCAGCGCTCGGGTAAGAAGTCCTACAAAGAAATGAAGGAAGAAAACCAAACCGTGGTGTGAGGCATTGCATTTTATTCTCCTTAGGAGAAATGTTCACAATATCACAGCTATGCAATTCCTGGAGAGCCTGTTTTGGGTGCAAAAATTAGTAAGTGTTCTCTTAAAAAAAAAAAAAAATGGCATAAGCTACAATACACTGGAACTGGCCCAAATATAATATAGAAAATAAAATCACCTAGAACACAAACTGCCAATTTTGTACATCCCCTCATCTATGTTCTGAAGACAGCAATAATGACTTCTCATGCATTGGTTTCTGGTTAAACTATAACGTACTGGTCTATGATTAGTTACAGATGCTGCATTTTCACTCTTTTTAAGTGGTTTCCAAATTTTTTTCTGTATTGTTTTAATTTGTCACTCAAAATCCTGCAGTTCTAGCCTTGGGCTTTTATGGTTGATTCAGTCCAACATGCTTATTCATCAAAATTCTTCAAAGGAGAATGTTGTAAGAAATTTATTTTTTGTACTTCTGGTCTAATGGAGTTAATTCCTCAAAGTCAATGGGTGTTTACTGGAATGTGAATGCCTGACCTCCTCCAGACTATTTGAAAATTTCAGCTAGGGTGTCAATAAATTGACTAATATGTATATAAAATCCTATAAACAGATTTTGAGCTAACATCTTTTAGATGTTTACCAGAAGCACATAGCGGTGGAGTTTGAAAGCCTATATCTGTGCTAAATAACGGTGAAGATCATGCTTTTTAATTTGCCTGGTGTGGCTTTCCTTCAGAAACCAGTACTACAAGAGTGTTCCCAGGATCCAGGTCTGATTCCCGATCAGAGCCTCAGGCTGATTTTTACACACATCCTTTAAGAGCAGGATTTGGATGTTACGAGTAAACAAAAGACAAAATTGTCATAAAACCCAAGGAAATGCAAAATGAAATAAATATGAATAAGCTGTACTTACCTCCGCATGCTTCTCTGGAGCTGGCCAGAGGCTCACGACAGGACCTCGGTCCTTCATTTGTATGGTGTCGCTCATATTGATGTAGTTTTTCAGCTCAATCACTTTGTCGGCCCAAGAGATGTCTGTCATCCCGTGATCGGAGAAGAGGATGACGTTGAGGTCATGCTGAAGACCTTTGCTCTGTGAAGCAAGTGGACAACAGCCGTTACGGCCAAGTAAGCGTTTTACACCATCTGTGCCCACTTGCAAATTTTAAAATACATTAGACCTCCACTGATTTAGTGGAAGTTGGCCAGGAGGAGCTTTTCCACCATCAGTAATGGTGGACATCCACTCGCTGCCCTGGAAGAGTCTAAGAGGTTAGCACCAAAGAGAGATTTGCCAAAATAAATCCATCCCCCTGCTAAACAACCACACGCTACAGGCCAGTCCCACAAACCAGTTGTCCCAGTTGGTCTTAAACTGGTTTTTAACCCACTGTTCTTCACCTGGAGGCCAAAATGGTTGGGGAAAACCAACTTGGTGCCACCTGTGGCAGAGGTTTTGCCATCTCCTCCTCCCAAAGACAATCACTGAGCATTAGAGGCTCTATAATTTAGTGAAATTGGAAATACTAATTCCTCTCCTCACTGAAACAAATGAAAAACTCTAACGTGCATTTATCGTTGGCAGAAATATTCATACAATTGACATTTACTCAAACGCCTGGTGTCCTCCTTTCCTCACTGCAAAATCATTTAGATAATGTACAGAGTTCTGGGTGATGCCGTAAAAAAAAACCCAACAAACTGGCTATAAAAGTTAATAGTCTGGTTTCACAGACCTTAGGAAGCAAGGGGTTTTGATTCATTTGCCTACTATAAATCCCAGCTGGCAGCACAAGTAACAAACAGAGCAACACGTATATTGGTTTATGGCTTCCCGGGGCTATCGGTATAATAAGCCACTCAGAGGATTATAACGCCATCGACGAAAATAAAAATCAGGGGAATGGTGCCTTGACTTCCACGTGATCTCGGTAGCCTCTGTTTCTCAGGAGATAAAAGTTTACAGCCAACGCATCCAATTAAACAGGCCTTAAACAGGCTCTCGGCGGTGCCACAAATAGCAGTTTCAAAAGCCTCTTCCAAACGCCCCCAGGAGTTGGGTTTTTCGGAGGCCACTCACCTTGATGAGGCTGATCATGTTGCTCAAGGCTTTGTCCACCTCCTTCAAAGCGTTCTTCCGCTGCTGGGATGAGGGGCCGTAGTGGTGGCCTTCCACGTCGATGCGCTCGTAGTATATGGCGGCCATCTCGGCGCTGCCATTGCTGGAGGAGGGGAAGGAGTCAGAGGTTGACACACATGGAGACCTCCCCGCTGCCGGTGGTATTGTCCTCACTGGCACGTAGAGCCACAAACCCCCATTTTCTGCTTCCAGCCACTGCTTTCCTACCCTCTGTCTTGCATCTGGGCTCATTATTCATGCCCAGAGTCTCCTGGACCACCACCGGAGGTGCCAGGCAGAGATGTCCATGTGCAAGCAGAGGCTGGCCTGTCAGCCCTCTCCTACCTCTTCAAATTAAGACGGCAGCTTTTCCTTTAAGGACAAAGAAAGACCCAGAAGAAATACCAATTTCTGTGCTGAATACCCTTATTAAAAGGATTGTGGGCATTACCAGTCAAATGGGCTTTAATTAAAGTTTGGCGCTTCTGGCTTTCTCCTGTGTGAGGTCTCCCAAACCACCAAGGTCAACTCAGGACGGGCTCTTCCATGACCTTGCAAAATCCCTAGTGGTATGAACTGGGGTGAGATTTTAGAAGTTGGTTTGTTGTTTTTTTTTTTTTCAGGAATATGACCAAAGGGAAACTAAGGTAGTCTCAGAGTTGCACAAGTTTAGCTGATCACACGTTTCTGCACTGAATGCCCTCAGCCTAATTAGTGGGGATTGCGCATACATCAGTGCTTAATTACATTTTCATGACCACTTTACAGTTCACTGTGAAGCTCCCTGAGAGCAGTCGTGTGGATAAAATCGCAAATCTATGCTCGTGAAGTTCAAACCCAGCCTTTTCCTACTGTACTTAATGTATGACAGGGTGTGCCATCCATAATACATGCCCTCATCCAGATCAAGATCCCTACAAAAAGACTTTGTGTGATGTCCTGACAGGTCCAGCTTCTCTGATTAAAGACGCCCGAGCAGTCTGGTGTAATGAGTGAAACAGAAGAGAAAAAAAAATCAGAGGTGAGGGACCGAATGAATGAATTAGTGTGTCATTTGCATTTGTAAGCTTGCTGAAGGCCTCAGAAGAGCAGTCCTGTAGGAAGCTGAAGGTCTCTGCTGTGGTGGGAATTTCTTCACCTCTCTCTGGCCCTGCAGAACAGTGTTCTTTCTTGCTCTTCGTGATCTTAAATTCATTCAAATGAAGCAGCCCTTCCCTCCCCTCAGTTTCATGTTAAGCATTGCTTTCCATCTGTGTTAGGCATAAATTAATTTCTAAAATTTAACCCTGCAATTTCCACACTGCATACACATTCCTTGAGCCTATTGAAAGAGTTTTCTTCCACTGCAGTGCTTGCATTAATTAGCTATTAGACTGCTTTGTGTCTTCTCACCTGTAACTAAATGATCATTTTGACCAAGACAGAAGCTAAGAAAGAAATTTATTGCATAAAACAAGGGGTCTTATTCAGGCTGTGGTGGGCTTTCTCCAGGAGGGCTCAGGGCTGAAAGGATGAATGGTCAACTTTGCGTGTAACTTCAAGGGGACAAGCTCCAGTTAGGTGGTGGGCTTAGGAGTTTGCAGGATTGGGTACAGCACATCCAAGAGCTTGTAAGATTGAGTTGGTTTTTTTTTTTTTTTTTTTGCCTGTTTTCCTAAGAAAACTAGGCATCTCTAATAATGGATTGCATGGGAGAAGTACTCTGTCTTTCTAACTGTGTGTTACTCCTGTCTTCTCCCATTACCAGCAACTTTCAAGAGAAATGGCTAAGGAAGCCTTGCTGAATAAAGTTGGATGGCATCGACGGTCAAACTGAAAATGGTTTTCTATTTTATCAACAGTTAGTGATATGTATTGATAAAATACTTGATATTGATAGCAATATCAGTACTTTATCAGTACTTGTTTGCAAGTGCTGAGCAAACTTCATGATACCTGTAGAAGAAGGCATGTAGATGACAACAGCCCTTGAATTATAGTTGTGGAAAAGACATAAGGGAGGTTTTAGCTTTACTTGCCAAGAACAGGTGCTTAACTTAGTTTTGAATATTTTTGGTTTAAATAATGGTCTCAAAGCACCTGTTTGAAGAGACTGGAGAATATTCCTGAAGGATGGTTTCCTTTGGTTGCAAGAGGAGCGCAGTGGCTCCCTGATGAGTTAGGTTCTCCTGCTCTTGCAGAGGGCACTGATAAAACTCCCTTCAACCCCGATGAAGTTAAGATGGGTCAGGATGTTCCTGTGCCCAAACTCAAACCGTAGGCCACCACATCACAGTAAATGGTTTACTCTCATCACCCTGAAGTCCCAGTAAGGTTTGCTAATGGTGGGAGCACAAGTGCAGCTCATTAACCACTAATACCTGCCATCAGGGCAAGCCAGCAAGGCCCTGCTCCAGGCACTGTGCCCTCCCCACGGGCTGTTTTCCCACACACAGCTAGTGCCAGCCTCAGCCTAATGGCCTTTCTCAATTAGTTGGGGTGTGGAAAGCAAACACGTTGGATTTGCCAGCCTTTGAACAGCTTCAAGAGCCAGAAGCCTCTTGCAAAGGATGTAGGCCACAAATAAAACACAGCTCAAGACTCTTCTACCCAGAGAGATGCTAACTCCTCCTAAGTGAATACACCTACAGTGAAGGCATTTCAGAGGCTTTACTTCTTACGGGCTGGCCCAGCAGCTCTGAAAGTTGTTTGCTGAATTTTGAAGGACCAAACAAAGAGGATGAATGAGGGAAAGGGCAAGGGAAACCTACCTGACTTTAAACCTGTTCATTCTCTACCCACCTTTCTTACTGTAAGTCCCTGCAGCATTCACACCCACAACTGATTATTAATTTTATCGATGAGGCCTCCTTCTTCCTCTTCCCTGCCTTGCTGCAGACAGGGCACTTAGTTTAAAGAAGAGGAACCCAAGCAGAAATTCAAGAGGGATGGTGTAAATGGACATCAGAGATGGGACCTCCCATGGCTCAGGAAGATCTGTCAGATTTGGGCTCTTCAGCAGGCTGTACCTGACATGGTGGTGGCAGGGATTTGTTCTTTCTTAAAATTGCCAGTTTTCACCTCTTGCAAGCTTCCCACACTCTTGTGTCCCTGCCCTTTTCTTCTTTTCCACCAAAAGCAGCAGCAAACAGCCTTGGGGCCCTGGGGTGAATTAGCTGCTGAAACGTTCTCAATGGGTCCAGCTACCCAAAGGAGCAGCTTGAAGGGCAGGAGCTTTTAGCAGTTTGTGCCTCGCTTTTAATCATGTTGACAATTACAAAGCTGCAACCCATCCTGAGCAGCCTTATGCACCTCGCTTCATAGAAACCAGGCAGGAAGCTTCAGGCATATCCTGACCCACCCCTAAATCATACCCGACCAAAAAGCTTTCTGTGGTAATTCTGGCCTTCCACCAGAAGTCAGAGCTGGATTCAGTTTTCCATTCCCTTTTTTATTCACTGAATTAAAAGTGTTGCAGAAGCTCCAGAAAGCCTCCTATGGCACATATGACATCCTCATGTCACGTGCAGATAAGTTTGTTAAAATTGAAGCTAAATCATTTCAGCATCAAGTGTCTCACATGTTCTAGAAGAGCTTCATGTTGTTTACAGCTCCATGCTGCAAAGATGATTTGTGATCATCTTTGCAGCTGGACCCAGTGTGTAACTGGGAGCAACATCTCCAGCAGTGCTCTCATCATTTTGGAGCCTTCATGTCAAGAACAATCAATGCTCAGCATCTGAATATGAAACTTTTCAGATTCAAATCACTACGGCAGTTCCCAAGCAGCAAAGCAGAAGCATATCCTAGGATTGGATAAATTATGGAACCAATAAGCCTTTAAAAGAGGAAGCTTAGTTATAGCCCAGGCACGTGGTGGTGCAATCTCCCCTGGTTTTACAGCCTATGTGGAATTGTCCCATGTTAATGTCTGGATGAGAGATGGTGGAACTGGGAAGCCAGGTGTGGAGCATACGCTTTTCCTAGGAGTTTTTGGAGAGAGATATTCCCATCATTCAGGCTAGATGGTCATTGTAGGTCCCTTACAACTGAAATATTCCATTCTATTCTCTTCTACTCTACTCTCACATTTGCACAAAAAGACTGCCTACTCTGAAATCATTGTACTTGAGATGTTCCAAATTGCTGGAGAAGCTCAAGCATTGGCCTCATAAACAAGTGACCGGAGCTGAATTTCAGAACTTCCAAATTCCCAGGAGCTCTCTCTAAATCCAAGCATTTCAGAGTCTTCTCTTGCAGGTCAGTGAACAGATACTCAAAGACTGAGCTGGAATTTTTTTGAAAGAGCAAATTAAAAATAGTAAGTTGAGATGTCTCCTCTGTGTTGTAACCTACACATGACAAGAGGAGCACATCTTTCCATGTGAGGGTCTATTTCCGTAACGGTCATGTTTCTACAACAGTACTACCAACCGGACTCCACCTTCCTACCTGGGAGCCAACCCTGAAAACCACCCCAACTGACAGTAAACCCAAATACTCATCCTTGGGAGAGGAAACCCCACCAGCCCAGAGACTCACCGCAGAGACTCCAGAGCGTCGCTGATGGCGTCTGCAAAGTTTTTGTCTGAGGGGACGCTGAAGTACTCGCGGCAGTAACTTGGTCGGACTCCGAGGATTTCCACCTCGCAACCTAGGAGTGAAAAAAACACCACATGGTAAGCTCTGCTGTTCAGCCTTGATCGCAGACCCCACGCCGGGGGGTTCAAGTTCAGGTTTCCCCATGACATTACTTCTCTGACACCTTCCCTGCAGGAAACCTGGTGGTTGGGAAGGGGGAAAAGGAATCACAGAATCTTCTAGGTTGGAAGGGACCTTAAAGATCATTTTGTCCAACCGTCAACCTAACTGACAAAAATAGACACCCACACAACAAACAAGGAGCATCATCACTAACCCATACCTCCCAGCACTACATCAACCTGTCTTTTGAACACCTCCAGGGATGATGCCTCAACCACCTCCCTGGGCAGCCCATTCCAATGCCTGATAACCCTTTCAGTGAAAAAATTTTTCCTAATATCCAGCCTGAACCTCCCCTGGTGCAACTTGAGGCCATTTCCTCTCGTCCTGTCGCCTGTGACTTGAGAGAAGAGACCGACCCCCACCTCTCTACACCCTCCTTTCAGGTAGTTGTAGAGAGCAATAAGGTCTCCCCTCAGCCTCCTCTTCTCCAGGCTGAATAACCCCAGCTCCCTCAGCCTCTCCTCATAAGACTTACTCTCCAGATCCCTCACCATCTTTGTCGCCCTTCTCTGGACCTGCTCCAGCACCTCAATGTCTTTTTTATGGTAGGGGGCCCAAAACTGGACACAGTAGTCGAGGTGAGGCCTCACCAGTGCTGAGTACAGGGGGACAATCACCTCTCGGGCCCTACTCGCCACGCTGTTCCTGATACAGGCCAGGATGCTGTTGGAGAGAGAGGTTGGCTTGAGGAGTGCTTGTAGCAAACCGTACCTTGGATCCTTGTATTCCCTCCTCTAAGAGGGAAGGTCTCTGTGCCTCCCCACGATAAAACCCTTGATTCCTTTGTGGCAGACGGTTTCCACGTAAATCTCTAGCTTTTTTTCATTTTAACTAGTGCAGCCACACCGCCTTGTTTCCAGGCTGCCAACGTAATAGATTTAGATATTGTTCCCTGAAAGTTCAGCAAATACTTTCCAGTTAGACAGGCTGTATCTTGGGCCATAATATCCTCTATAAACTGCGTTTTATTATGTGATACTGGCACTCCGTGATTAAATCTGTTTCCCAGGAGGTCTTATTAAAACAGTATAAACCAATTAACTCTCTTGGTAACTTGCAGCCTTCCTTGCAAAATACAGTCTGTTTTGTGGCCCAGAAATTTATGGCAACAAATCCTACAGGAGAACATGGCCCTGAACACATAAAAACATGTTTTTGTGGGTTTTTTTGCCCTTTTGCTCTCTGGTTACTATGCTGCAGAATAACATTAATATTTTAAAGAACTATGCTTTCAGAAACACGGGATTCATGCAAATTATCTTTTGAGAGCCCCAGAGTCCTCCCATCACAGTTAGGCATTTTCTGGTGTATTCCTGGGGCATAAGAGGGGAAAAAAAAGATCTTTTGCAAAATGGCCTCTGTATACAGCAGTACAGTCAGGTGGAAAAGGCAACTCTCAGCCATAGCCCTAATCTGCCTACATTTGGGTCACTTTGCTTCTCCTTTGGGATGAAAGGAATAGCCATTAAGGCCTGCCAGAAGTTGATTCATTGCTTGGGGAGGGAGAAGGTTGAACAGGAGGTGGAAGCACAGAGAAGGCATGAGAGCAAGCAGAGGGGCTTTCAGGGATGATTTGGACTGGTTTGCTTCCTGGGACACTTGGTGAAGAGAATTTGTCGGTGTCTTGCATCTCAGCCCACGTGAGCTCACATCCCTGAGGTACAACCCTGGGGAATGGGCAAAAGCACACCACTTCCAGGCTAAGCTGGCTAGGAGACTTCTGGTTATGACTTCTCAGGAGCACCATGAAAGGCTACAAAAACTTAAATATTTGAGCTTAGGAAATTTAAAAAAAACTTCACTGACTTGCAGAAAGCCAGATAACTCAGATGGAGGTTACCCTTTCCAAAAGTCAAAGAGCCCTAGCACACACGAAAGACTCAGTCTCTTCCCTCAGTGGTCCATGGTGGCAGCTCCGAGGTCTCCATACCCTTTGTGTGTTTCAAGGGATCCCATCTATTACAGAATCACAGAATTGCAGGGTTGGAAAGGAGCTTCAGAGCTCATCTAGTCCAACCCCCCTGCCAAAGCAGGGTCACCTACAGCAGGCTGGACAGGAACACATTACAATTAATTACTTGTAAGAATTAATTATTTGCAACAATAAACAGAACATGTAGTTAACTACTTTACTTTTCTATGAAAAACATATTTAAATAATTTCGAAACCTTACCTAAATTTGTCTTTATAAAAATTGTGGGAGTGTGTGATGGTGCTCACCTTCTGTTCTTCCCCTGCTGCCCCAAACTTCTATGACTTAATTCCCCCCTTTCTGCATGGAGACACTTCAGTATTTCTCTCCCCACCACCAAAAGTAATCTGCAACCTTGAGCTTGCAGGTAACTTGACAAGAACTGACTCCATACCTTCCCGCAGTAAAACCTCTATACATCTCTACTCACCACCTTCAAGAAATTACATTGCTGCTACCTAACCAAATCATCAAAAAAAGGTATTCCATGATTGACCCGAAGCCATCTCCAGGAAGCAGAAGCCTTTGCCCCCTGCCCTGAAGGTGTGAAGTTGGAGTCTTCTGCACAATGTCCTGGGTGCTACCAGCAGCAAAACATGGGTTCCTAGGAAGTGATACTCTCTGGGCTTTGCTACAATTTCAAGACTGACCTGGAACTTCAGATCCAATTTCTCCTCTGACACTTGAATCTGGGAAAAGATTGGCTCCAAAGCCAGGCAAGAAATTAAGGAGGCATTTGGGAACACGTTGGAAATGCTTAGTATTTTAGTTCAGGGGGATGATTGCTCATTGCCAATGACTAATATGATGATTTTGCCTCTTTTTTTCCTCTTCAGATACTGACATCAGATTATAATTTCCTCAGATAGCGTTCCTCAGAATTACTCATGAGATAATTTTAACTGGAAGCATTAACCTCTTGGGGATCTGGAATATTTTAGGTGCTCAGGTATCTTTGCTATTTCTAGATTGTCAAGTGATGAGCATGACATAAAGAACTACATAGGCAGCAACAATTAGAAATCATTTTGGCCACTAAATATTGGTTTTCAAGTGTGCGGTTCATTGGCAGTAACACTGAAAATTCAGGCTGTTTAGATCCCAAGAGCTTCCTTTTTTCTTTTTATTTTTCAGTCTCTGTGATGAACAGAACATAAAATTGGATATTTGATATTAAGGCTTGTTACAATTCTGAAAAACTGGCCATGAAGACCCTTTAATATTTAAATATCATTTTGGTAGAGGCCAGGACAGATGGTAAATTTTCTCATTTAAGTATTATGAGAAAGGAAATTCAAAAAGGTTTGGAGCCAGACAAAGGGAATGTTAAGTTTTTTCTTGTTTAAACTACAAATAGATGAGTTGCATTTACTAAGATGTAATGTTAGATGCCTTTCTGCACACTTTTGTATGATGCTAAACCTTTGTTTAAAAACCTGAACTACTGGAGCAGGGATAAGGAGACTTCCTTCGCAGTGATGTATCGGCTCCTCTTTATCTGTCTGACACGGAGACCTGAACCTCTGCCAGCTTTAAATTGCATTTCTAAACATTGATTTAACAGTCGGACACTTCATGTCATAACAGAAGGTTTTTGAAAACTTTCCAGGCGAGCTCCACGGTCTGGTAAATGTTGTGTTTAAATGTTGAAAGCTTGGATTTAGAGTCTTTTTTTGGTGTGGGTCAGTGTTTTTTTTTTCCCCACCCCTTTCTCTCATTTCAGTGCTGAGCAAAGACGTCGCTGACGGGGCTGAAGGGGCTGCATAGGCTGCTGAAGAATGAAGGAGTTTGAAGGTCTGGGATGACACCACCCACTGGGCTGAGCGTGAGGAGCAATGTAAAGCTTTGGCTTTGGTGGGACCACCAGGATGCTCTTGTGCTCCACTGGGGCTTCTCCATCCCCTGGATGGAGCAGCAACGCTCCAAGAGGCAAGCTGGGCTGCACGTTTCTCCCCATGTATGGCACTAGCTGGTGTGTTTTACTCAGCAAACAGTCAGAAAATACATGACTTTTTCCCCAGAAATGCCTTGGAGAGCAGAAACGGCCTAATAAATGCTGTGAAGAAAGCAGAAGAACATCCCTACAAGCCAACTGCTTGCGTTTTGGCCCAAGCGGCGGCTGGGACACCCCCAGCACAGTGGTATTTTGGCTCCTCCACTTCTGGAGGCAGGAGATTCCAGATGAATTCTGCCCACAAGGTTGTCTTTTCCGTGTTTATGTTGGGCTCTCAGATAAAGCAGTGATGGATGGGCACTCCCATCTGACAGCCCTCCTGCTCTGTGTTCCCCCATTCCCAGGGGGTCTGGATTTTCTTTCTTTAAGCACCGAATACACAGAGGGAGAGGAATACAGAGAAGAACACGAAGTAGCAGATTTTGAGTTCAGACTCTGCAAAGCTTGGAACTGGCTCCGAGGAGGAAATGGCAGTGGTGTAAGCTAACCCTGGGAATCAGCTCCTTGGTCTTCTCAACACGTTTCTGCTACGTTTCATCGGTCTCTTTTATTTTCCACCACTGGCTAAAGGGAAAACAGCATCTTACAGAACAAAGCGCGATGGAGTTGGCTGTACACTGCTGTTTCTGTTAACAGTTTCCCAAATTTTTCCTGTTTGGATCTTTATCAGATTTGCAAGACTCATTGCTAAGCAGCGGTGTATCGTCAGGCTGGAAAGTTACCCAACAACAGGAGATCCTACTCGGTGCAAACATCTGTGGGACCTCCACCCACCTTGCTTGTTAAACCCTTATTTTTGATTTAATTTTGTTTGGCATCACTCCCCAGTCAAAGCCTTTTAAAGAATTAAAGCTTTAAAACAGTAAATCCAGAAGAAAAGATTACATCCCAACTATGGAACTAGAAAACGGTTCCAAAAAGTCATAGGGGGAAAATGTAATAAATAAATACTATTGCATTTGGGCGTGATTTCTGTTCAGTCCAGTTACACCTGGGCTCCCACTGTGGCCCAGTTTCCCTGTGTTTTAGTCCAATAGCTTGAGTCTGCTTCCTGCCCTGTGCCTGACCCCCTATGGCCAATGTGGCCTTTGAGAACATGAACACCCTTAAAAAATAAAGCTGTGCTTAAGAATTTGCTGAACTGAGGCACTCAGGACTTTGCCAAAGGTCGTCGGTCACGACAGACAGATGTCACAATCCACAGCTAAAATACCAGATCCAGGCAAAAACTCCCGTACACCTCATGTGTCTTCTCCCTGGGAGACGCCGCTCAAAGGGCAACATGAAGGAGCTAGGTGAAGTCCAAAGGCATTTAATGGAAAGTGATACCATTCTTTTGGATTTCAGGAGCCCTCTGTAGACTGTTAGGTCTATTCAGTAGATAATTATACCTAGTCTGCGCAGTTACTTTAGTAGTTAAAAAATGAATAGTCTATAGAAACAGGTCTTTTTGTCAATCTTTAGAAGAATTTCTACATTCTTGTATGATTTCTATATCCCACTATCCGCACTGCTGTTAGGTCACTTGGGTGATCTCCAATAAGAAGCAGGGTTCTTTTGAGGGCTGATCCAAACCATTACATCTAGTCTGCAATTCCAATCCCTTGGACTGCCTTTGAGTCCATAAAGCAATACCGTCACCCTCAGATCTTTTCTCTCTTCAGTACTGTAGAAACCCTCTGGATGGCTTTTCAAGGTTTTTCATCTTGGTTCCCTCTTTATTCCCTTTCCTGAGAACTTTGGCCTTTATTTTTTTTTTCTTTTTTTCCCCTGGGATGCCATTAGCCACATTGCATGGGAAGAGCGTGACCGGGCACACGAGCGTTGGGATGCAGAAGACAAGCTGGCTGGAAGCCCATGGCATGAGTCAGCTGCTGCTGCCCTGGCCACCGGCACCGGCTGTACTCAGTACAGCTCCTCCAACACGTGGTCCTCCAGCCTGTAGCTACACATGCGAGGGCATTTGCATACCGCTTAGGTAGCAGAGTTTAAAAGGTCAAAAAGTTGAGAAACTGGGTACCTTGCAAGGGATCTGGTTTGGCCACGCAGCTGGAATATTTATTTCCATGGGGGTCCCTAAATGGACTGCCTAAGGGTATACTCCTAGTTGTGAAAAAAGACTTGCTCTTATACATCCCTAGTGATTTCAGTGGTCCAATGCCCAGCAAACGAGGAATGGAAAGGCCAAGTCCCTCCAAATGAACGTCTCAGATTTCGAGGAACTGGGACCTCAGCTGAGTTAATGATGGAGGACAAGAGTGCTCACTCCAGCTCACCAAAGGATGCTTTGCTTTCAGCTGGATTTTGCTGTCATAGAATCAGAGAATGGTTTGGGTTGGAAGGGACCTTCAAGATCATCTAGTTCCAACCCCCTTGCTCTGGACAGGGACACCTCCCACTAGACCAGGTTGCTCAAAGCCCCATCCAGCCTGGCCTTGAACCTCTCCAGGGATGGGGCATCCAGAACTGTCTCCACAGAGTAGATCATCTTCAGCTCTCAGCTACTAATTTCCAGGTTAAAACCAAACAGGCTTTGGGGAAGGATGGTTACTGTTTAACTTTGATCAGTGACATGGTCTACAGAGTTGCTCTGTGAACCATCCAGCACAGCAGAAGCTACAGGTGGGCAAGAGAAATGAGCAGTCGGTAGAGAAGGGGATGGTCTGCAAGCCAGCAACCTCCTTGAAGGTAATGTTTGGGTGGAACGCTACCTCCAGTGACACTTCAGTGTTTTCCTTTCTGAGCACAGGCAAATTGTCACAGCCTGAGGAAAGATAATTCATTTCTACAACTGGTTAGTAAAGCACTCGTAATTCTTGTCTGTATTTCTGGGTATTAAAGAGTCATCCTAGAGGGTACGGAGCGCTTGGATGTAAAGATACACTGTTAAGGTGGTAGCAAATTTTGACATACTAACCTGGCCAGTAGTACATGAAAACATTCTTTTTTGCTTTCGTCATTGTGACCCACAAAGGCTCTGATCCATTCCACCAGAGAGGCAGCAGGCTTTCGGTATTCACACCAATATCAAAAGACACATTTCTCTTCTGGTCCCACATGTAGTTTCCAATCATCTGATGGACCTCACAGTGCCGACCTTCAGGGGAGGAGAAAAAAAAAAAAGCAGCACAATCAGATTGGTGTTTTCAACAGAAGGATATCAGCAACACCACCCCAGCTATGACCAGCTCGTCCAACAAATCAGCTGAAAAGCTGTGATTAGAACCCAGGGGCCTCTTACCTTGCAACCGCTCATATGATCTTCTTGAGCCTATTACCTTTAATTGAGGTCCTCTGGTAGCTCTCTAAGGTCTCCCTGAAGCCTTCCCTTCTCCCGGCTGAACTCCCCCAACTCTCTCAGCCTGTCCTCACAGCAGAGGGGCTCCAGCCCTCACAGAAACTTCATGGCCTCCTCTGGACCTGCTGCAACAGTCCCTGTCCTTCTTATTTTTTATTAAATGAACATGTTTTGTTCTTGGTTGTGGGGACAGCAATCATTTCATCAGACATTTTCAGTCCTTTTACTGCACCTTGAGGGTCCTTGGTCAACTTTATATTACAAGAAACTAGTATATAATTGCTGGGAAATGTCTTCCAGTTCTTATCTTTGTCAGAAGAGAAGACACCGTATTTTAAGAGTTAATCTGCAGATGAAATAACAAAGAATGGAAAAAGAAATGTTGATGATTAAGTTCTACTGGCGTCCACGATTTTCATATCTTAAAAAGCAACAGCTGATGCATGTGTGAGACACTGTCATCATTAGCTGGTGAGTCACGATATTGCACGGATCCAGATAACAGGCTTTGATTATTGTGAGACTGAGCGTGGTGATCGGAACCGAAATAATCTCGGTCTGCTTGTTTTCAAAAGGCATGATTTCCAGCAGAGGACTCTGTATACTTTGGGTACATGTGACCTTCAATTGGATTTTGAACTCCCCTACTAGGGAGTATTTCAGTTATGCAAAACATTTCCTCCTCCCCAGCAGAGAAAAGCAGTCCCAAATTGTCACAGTCATTATTTTCCATATCAAGCCAAATAGGTTTAATATAGGAGAACCGGTGGACTGGACGGGCAATAATCTGTCCTCCTTAGGCCACCAAGTGCTGTATTCACCCCGAGTACCAGAAGAACTAGAAGGAAGCCTCTACAGTGCAACAAAAACAACCCTCCCACTTAAAGGACAACTTGTTGAAGTCCACATACTCCTGAGGATATATCGACCTGCCAAACTGCAGACAGGCAACTGGTGCCAGCCTGGGAAACCTGAAGCTGTTAGTCATGTATTAGTATGATGTACAGTGCAGTCTTCATACAGAAACAACGAGCTCCAGCTGCTGATGATGTGAGCTCCCTATAGGATTCAGGCTCTGCTGTCAGTTTGCCCACCCCTTTAAGTATTTGAATGGAGATTCTTCTTTAGAGTGTTGTTGGGAAGATTAATTAAGTGTGTGCGCTAATACAGAGGACAGTATTCTTCTGATCACCACATCAGACAAGTTCATTCTCCCATGGACTCCAGCCCTCTTTCTTATATTGAAAAAAGAGGCCCAGAAGACTGTAATGGATCCGTTTTCATTGCAGACATCCCTGGTTCACCAGGCCAGAAGGTCAGCTGAGCAGGAAGACCAAAAGATATGACCACTTCATGCTGCCTAGAGGCACTCATCTGCTTGCTTGAAGCCTGTGTCCCAGAAAGAACCTGGACCTTCTTAGAAGACATCTATACCCAACTCAATCTCCCATCTCAGCCATCTCAATACCCAACTCAATCTCAACCCATCAATCTCCTCCTTGGGTTCCTCATCCCAATGTTTGCCATCAGCAAACACTGTTCAGAAGGTATCCCTTGTCTCTAATTTTATTTTTGACCATTGTTAATCTTCAACCATGACTTTTTCTGTGCCTTGCTCACTAGATTAAAAAGCTCTGCAATAGCTGGCATTTCTCCCCCTCAGAGACAGTCACACACAGAATTAAGGTAAATTCTCAAATTTCTTTTGGGTCACTCATACAACCTGAGTTCTTTACATCCCCTATTGTAAGTCATTTTCTCCACCCTGAAAAAACAACCTCCAGTGATCTCCTTTTTAACAATTATCAAAATAGCAACATGATGTTAGACAATCACCATAACAAGGTGAATTTATTATTGCTTCCATTACTGCAGCTTTCCTCTGTAATCAAACATTATCTTAAGAGCTACAAAAGTAGAAACCGGGCAAAAAAAGCAATTTCAGCATACAGATTTCACTAAACTCACTGCAATCATAGCAGAAAGCACCCCTTCCTCAAGCAACAGAGGAAAACAAAGAGGGTATAGTTCCCAGGAATATGATAACTGCTGTATCCTTCTGGAAGAGAGCCAGCAAAAGCATTTGCACGTCTGCCTGCTACAGCTTACTTGGACACTACACTCCTTACAGCATTGGCTTTGTCTAAAGCACATTCCCATGTCTCCAGGCACTTTTGTCAGCATTCAAATGGATCTATGCAAAACAAAGATGAAATTAAAAAAAAAAACCAACAAAAAAAAACACCCAAGAAAACACACAGCCACTTGGCCACCCACAAGAAGAGCACAGGGACGCTACTTGGCCACCCACAAGAAGAGCACAGGGACTCAGAAGAGCTCTGAGCACCCTACATTGACCATATGTGAGATTTGGAAACCAGAGCCTGTGTTCCTGTGGCATTTTCCTGCTTCCAAATGACCTCTTTTCCTCTGGTGGTCTTCCACTGGCTGCGGGGACAGCAGGTAGGATCACCAGTAGGCACAATATATCATACAAGCACCACCTGCGCCCAAATTGACAAGAGAAAATGCTCTTTTGAGACAGCCAGTGGTTTTTTATTTTTTTTTTAAAAGGAAGGCAGCGTGTGGCAGATGCACAAGGTTATACCCTGTGCATTGGGCACAAAACGGAGGCAAACCTTCATGGAGCAAACCAGATTTATCAGAGAACTCATAACCCCGTACCCAGGTGGTATCCACTTGATGACGAACACAAATGCAGGCAATTAGCTAAATGTGCTGCACTATGTGATACCACCTGCATGCCTTGATGCTACGGTGACACCTCTCCTCCCATGTCCCACCATGATGTCCCCACTCCTCGGGAAGCGACAAGAGCCAGATCCTCCACTATGCCCTTGCCTGAAGAGTCACCTAAGGTCTCATCTGCCCTGCTTTGAAAAGACAGACCTCAGGGAAGAAACCAAAACCCTCATGCCAAACCTTAAGCGGCCTGGTGAAGACCAGTGCTCACAAAAAGGCAGGAGGGGAGCTCTGGTCTGGGCAAAGTGGCCCTGCCATCTGCAGGCCCCCAAGCAAAACTGGTACCCGCAAGATGCGCACGGACCATTTCTGCTCCCAGAAGAGCGTGTGCTGGCAAAGGCTTTCCAAATTTTTATGACCTCCAATACCAGACAGATCCAAAGCAGAAAGACCTTAGCACACGTCAGGCGACACTTTGCAATCTCAGTAGGATCACATCAAAAAGCACAGAAAAATCTCTGCTATATACAGCATTATTTTTTATTTTCCTGAAAGTGACTCACTCAATAAGAGAGTGAAACTCTTAATTCAATGCTTTCATAATGGGGCCAGGGCTGGCATGCACAAAAATTGCTTCCAAAGCATCCAGCTTAGGCTTTGGATGCTTGCTTGTGCATGAATTATAGAATTACAGAATAGTCTGGGCTAGAAGGGACCTTTAAAGGCCATCTAGTCCAACCCCCCTGCCATGGGCAGAGACATCTTCAACTAGATCAGATGGCTCAGAGCCGCATCCAACCTGGCCTTGAATGTTTCCAGGTATGGGGCACCTACCACCTCTCTCTGGGCAACCTGGGCCAGGGTCTCACCACCCACACAAGAAAGGATTTCTTCATAAAATCTAATCTAAATCTTCCCTCTTCTAATTTAAATCTGTTCCCCCTCACCCTATGGCTCTACTTCCTCCCCAAGAGTAGATCTTGAGATCAAGAGTCCCTCCCTATCTCTCCTGGAGCCCCTTTAGCTGGAAGGGGCTCTAAGGTCTCCCTGGAGCCTTCTCTTCTCCAGGCTGAATCCCCCCCAACTCTCTCAGCCTGTCCTCACAGCAGAGGGGCTCCAAGCCCTCTGAGCATCTTTCTGGCCTTTTCTGGACCTTCTCTTACAGGTCCATGTCTTTCCTGGGAAGGCAGATCTTGTGTCCCTGAAGAGCAGGTGCTCAAAGCTGTCCATGGGCCTCCTCAACTGAGAGGCAGCAGGGGGCTGAGAGACCACGATGGGACCCCTGACCACCCTCAGCTGGATACACCTTGAGGACACCGCAGCTGCGAGGCTGTAGCTAGTAAGAAGGGAAAAACTCTCTGCTTCAATTTAATTTGCAGCATATGAACGTGTGTTAGAGAAAACTTTCTGTTCTCCTCTTCGAAAGTGTTTCCTTTTTTTTTTTTTTTTAAGTGGTGGAAAGCAAACACAGATTTTTTACAACATTTTGTGTATGTGTGAAAGAGGAAAATCTTGGCGCTCGGCGTCACAGCCTTCCTGCAGGCCGTGAGTAAACAAAGCGAGAGGAAGAACATGAAAATGAAAAACCCTCCTGGTTCCTACTCTCTTCTCCAGCCTGTCCTTGCTAGGATAATACCCCTTCCCTGCCAGTTAATAGTATTAACACAGACTGTTTCGTGCTCTTTTGCTTCCCAACACACAATTTTAGAAATGGAAAGGTACTGAATCCAACAAAAAGAGGAGTCTGTCTGTTTAAAGACTATAGGTCATTAAGAGAATTTTTTAAATCTTTGCTGCTGCTGGCATCTGTGGTGGTTGAAAGGAGCAAAAAGAAAAAAAAAAATAATCCTGTTTCCTTGCCACTCATCATGCTCTTTGTGTCCTCCTGGCTTTTTTTTCTCAGCCTGGACAGTGAAGCTGAGATAATTTCAGTTAACATGTGCCGATAATAAGTTTCCCTGTTATACTCCTATCCCTCCATTTTTTATGTCTCAGACAACGCACAAGTATTGTTTATGTGACTAAAATCTTGTTTAACTGCTAAACACAAATTGTCAGCGTGCTTTCCTGGACCAGGCTGGAGCCTAGATACCATC